CCCCAAAACCCCAAAACCCCAAAACCCCAAAACCCCGACGATTAAAAAGAAAATTGACACATTTTATAAATTTATATCATCAATTTGTTAAAACCCAAGATGGCTGATGACTCCAGAGGGCTCAAATTACTGAAGCTTAGCGCACGAGTAAAGAAGTAAGCCAGATATATGGCACACTTCAACTAATCCCTTCGATCTCAGACATGATTAAATTAGTTAAGAAATGAGAAAACTTACTAATCATTGATGGAGATTATGTTAAAATCGGAGTTAAGGAAATGGAAATTGTTAACCCAGATAGACGGTGCCTTTCCAACCCTGACAACCTTGAAAGACTGGTTTCCTTCATTGAGAGTAAAACAGGAATCAATCAATTCTATTGGAAATCCTTCCATTGAGCAGAAGAACCTAAGCCAGGAAAAAGAGAATAGTATTATAGTGTTTTAGAGGGAAATGGTTATGTATTTGATATTTGTGAGATTAAATCTAAATAAAGTCAAATACCTTAACAATATTTGCAAACATTCAAAGAAAGCATTTGTCACAAGAATCCAGGCTGAGGTAGATATCGCAATCACTATGACAGCAATGAAGCTTGCACTCTCTCACAGTGAAGAAATTGAAAATATTGTATTAGTTATTGGAGACAGAGACTTTTATGACCTTTTGGAATACCTTTCTTCAAATTTTAACACAAGAATTTTGGATTTAGGAAATTATCTAAGTGATAAATTATTTAACTTTTACCTATGCATAATTTTATATACTTTAATGACTATTGGCATCAAGTTATTTATCCAAAGAAGATAATGAATATCCTCCTCTTGAGTCAAGTGGTAATAAATTTATTGAACAGAGGCAGATCAGTTTCATTAAACACTCAAGTAAACCATTGAAATTAAGGTAAAATGGAGAAAAATAACCTAGCAAACCCCTGTTCGGAAGAAAAGGAAAAGAAAAAAACCAAGAACAGTAAGAAACAACAGAGGAAGGAGGAAAAAAGAAGAGGCCATCTGGAACGAAACTAGCCCCTAAATCTCATTCTTCCACAAACATTAAGAGTAAACAACAACATCCAAATAATTCTTCTCACCCCTCATAGACCCACCAAAAATGTACCAAAACAACCCATCCCCAAAACCCCAAACCTACACATTCTAATCCACCCAAACCTCCCCAAATCCCCCATTCTCCACACCCACCCCCAAACCCCCAAAACCTAGCCACCACTCTCAAATCCCCCATCAACACCCCCAATCCCCTCTCTAAGCCAGAATTTAACCTAAAAAGTCCTTTAAGTTCAAATTTACCAATCAAAATTGGTATTTTCAATATTTTAAGACTAATTTGGGGTTTTGGGGTTTTGGGGTTTTGGGG